TGGACAGGTCACCAGTCTATCACAGGGCTCACATTCACATTCACATCTACGGACAATTTAGAATCGCCAATTAACCTGAGCATTTCAGCATGTCTTTGGACTGTGGGAGGAAGCCAGAGAACCCGGAGAGGACCCACGCTGCACAGGGAGAACATACAAACTCCACACAGAAAGATCCCAAGTGTCCTAACCGGGGATCTTCTAGCTGTGAGGCGATGGTGCTAACCCCCAAGCCACTGTGCAGCCATTCCTATCTAATTAATTCATCAACCAAGAATTTGCATAGCCGTATAACTCCCATCTAAAGCATCACTGTGCAATGTCATAGTAATAGTCTCGTAGTCTTGGCTCAACAACACTGAATCCAGGCCTTTCATCTGCCCTGTAAGACAGAAAAAAGTAAGCAGTTATCAAAAACAAGGTCTCCTAACATAAACTGACCTGTTGTTGGTCCTGCTATTACTTAGGGATCCTTTAGAGATAACATATCACTTACTTGTATGTCCAGCAGGTCCTCATTAGGTCATACATCTCTGGTGGACAGTTCAATGGGGAGTCCATGCGATTTCCACTTTCAATCATCTGCATGACATCATTTCCTTTCATTCCCTGTGAACAGTGGTACATTACATAGTGATTATTTATTTACTCCTTGAAAAAAGTAATCAGGTTACTCATTACATAACCATACATTCACATCCCAGGAGGACCATGACACATGCAATCGACAGATCAGCACAATTTGTTCACATTACCACAACTAATAGTGATTATGTATACCTTGTATGGTTTTTGGCCAAAGGAGAAGGCCTCCCACATTAGCACTCCAAAGCTCCACACATCGCTTTTGGATGAGAATTTGAAATAGTTTATACACTCAGGAGCATACCATTTTACTGGCCACTTTCCATGACCCTTGGCCTGGAGGAGAGAGACACACAAAACATCATTTGATTTAATGTCAGACTGGAGATTTTGCTGCTTCAGACTGCACTGTAACTATGACTAAGATTGAATGCTGGGCAATATGTTCTTCCAGTTTAAGATACAAAATTAGGCAGATGGCTGTGGTTTGTATTGCAGTAATTCCAATGCTTTATATGAATGCATGCTGTGTCAATTTTTTACTTTTATGCACGACCTTCACGCCTTTTAGCCTAAGTATGAAGGAATATGAACTACCCCACAATTACAATACACTTGAGACGTACAAACTACCCATATCAGCAGTTACCTTGTAGTAGTTTTGCTCCTCGGCGACAGCTTTGGAGAGGCCGAAGTCACTGATTTTGGCATAGTGCTGTGTGACCAGGAGCACATTCCGAGCTGCGAGATCCCTGTGGACAAAGTTGTGCTCCTCCAGATACTTCATCCCCATCGCCACCTGGTGGACCAGCTCTGTGATGTTCTTGACGGATGTTTGTCTGTAGATGATAAATAGTTACTTTAAACATGGTGTATACAACATTCAGAAACATTGTATGTTCCTAGTCCATCTCAGACCAAAACATGTGGGTGCATCTTCCCGCTCCACTTCACAGTTCATTTACAACCAGAAACTCTGTGAACAAAAACTGACTGTAACTACTTGTTACCTGAGTAATATTAACTTTACCCATCTCTCTTCTTGAACTGTTAAAGGATGTTTACAATATTAAAAACAAAAGTAATGGAAAATGGCTATTAAAGAAATGTTGGCCTTTGGTTTAAAACAGCAGCGGGAAACAAAGAAAACACAGGATGCCAGTCTTCTAATACATGTTAAAAGACCCTCACATTCATACTTTAAAGACATTTAGAGTTACCTATTCATGCACCTTCATGGACTGTGGAAGGAATGAAACATTGAAGGCTGAAGAAGATCTGACCTCAGCCTTAGAACAGAAATCATATCTATCACAAAACTGCTGCAGTTTTTAAAATGTCAACCCACCACGGCTATCATTAGACTCTAACAAACTTTCAGTTCTGCTGCCTGTATGGTTCAGAATCACCACATGTCTGCTAGTAAGACAGTTTATCAGGATGCAATGAACTCAACAAATTATGATGAAAATCGTTGCTGCAAAAAGAAAAAAGAAAAAAGAAACAGACAACTCAATTAAATTATGTTTAGTTTCCTTGATAGAGAATTCATACTTTATGATAGATGATGAATTTAAATTTAAAACTCATTTTAAATCGTACTTCATAGTCATTCACAATACTTTCTTACCTTCAAAACAGTTTGCATTGCAGGTCAGTATATTATAGTCCTTATAATTGTGTTTCTATTGCTAATGTAAAGACACAATGTCAAAATGACACAATTGAGAGAAAAACCAGGGCCCAGGTACATACTTGTGTTTCTGCAGGAACTTATGGAGGGGTCCCAGCTCGGCCAGCTCCATGACAAGCATGAGGTTCTCTGCCTCACAGATACCAATCATCCGGACAATGTAAGGATTGTCCAGCTGTTGCATGACATTGGCTTCTCGCAGCATTTCCTCACGTACTGATGGGTTGTTATCATCGTTCTTCAGGATTTTGACTGCCACTGGCTTCTCTGTCCTAATAGATGAAGGTGCCAATACATTTCAGTTTATGCACAGCAAGCAGTCAGACATTTTTACACAGATCAACAACATACATGAAGTAATACAACAAAGGGTTTAGGATAGAATATCAGTCAGCAAGGAAGGCAATTATATCTATACATCAATACAGAGTACATAGGTAATTTCTGCTTTAATGAAACCAGTTTGATCTGTATGTGTGAGAGAAAGAATGACTGATCATCTTTATGTTAGAGAACACGAGGTCCAATTGTGTTGGGTTCTAATTAATGAGCTCTATGATAGAGGCTGTGCTTTTTGGATTAGAATTTGTCTGTAGGGAAAATGGAGAGAGAGTATTTATATAAAAAAAGACACTGTTGTCAAATTTGGGGTTTGTAAAGTTCACCGATTTCCAACAGTCCATAATCATGCAATCATGATACTCTGGGTGACTAAAATTGAGATGAGGTGTTGTTTGTATGTAGTAATGTAAATTTATGTGATGTAGCATACTTTCTCATCTTGTAAATGCCCTTCATGACAGTGCCAAAGTTCCCTGAGCCCAGTTCTCCATCCTCCAAAAACAGCTGGTTGCGATCCACTGTGGAACTCCTCAGTTCATCTGGATCTGCATAAGGACTTTCATATACCTCTGTGTCCATTGGCATGGCCTCTGGTGAAGAGAACACCATGCCACATTAGAAGAGTAGTGATTGACAGTGAACTTGGATCAAGTGACCAAATTCAGACAGTTCTGTAACCGAAATAGCTAAAACAAGTAATGTGTCATTGTTCTCAAATCAACCTAATATGAGCATTCAGTCTTGAACCCATATGGAACAGTGAAACAGATTTTACTGGCTGAATTACTTTCTTCTTTGGATTCTGCTCATTAAAAGATCCCTCCTCACGCACAATGCAAGTGAAAAGTACAAAATCAAAAATGCATCACAAAGTTAATTTCTTTTCTTTTCAAGACTATTTCCAAGTGTTTACATGGTAACAGTCATGAATTTAAAGAAAATGGTAGATTTTACTTTTATTAGTAGATAATTGAGTGAAATCATATTTGAGGTGTGTCAGAAAAGTTCCAGGACTGGTGTCACAAAAGATATATTTCAAACCCAAACTACAAACCACGAGTTTCCCCTTCAGACAATCAACCAGCACGTCTACAAAGAGATCCTGAGGTGTTTTGAAGATGTGGACGACATCAAGATGGTTATGACGACAGAACTGCAGAGGATCCCGGAAGAATCCCTCCAGGAGTGCATGGCGGCGTGGCAGAGAAGGCTGGGAAAGTGGGTTAGACTCCAGGGGGATTACTTCGAAGGGGAAAACTTGTAATTTTTAGTTTGGACTTGAAATATATCTTTTGCGAAACCAGTCCTTGAACTTTTCTGACACACCTCGTAGGTATTTTTTTTTTATATATCAAGTTTAAATACTAAGCCTGTACTTGGTTAGTATGTGTCTCCACTTTCTGAGACATTTTGCCAATTAATAAAACAGAGCGATAACAAAGAAATCTACTTTAACTTATGGTTTCTTCCTTCAAACAATCCAAAAAATATCCTTGACATTGTTTTATAATTTGGTTTACTCCGACTGATTTGAAAAGCTGTATACTGCTGAATACTAGGTGTGCCTACACATTTACAGTATATTTAAATGATTTACCTTGACTATTGGGCTCCCTGATTTCATATGGATTTGGGTTGTTGGATTGATATCCGTGGCTCTGTAATTAGTTTGTCACAGAAGACAATGTTTGAGAGAACATGCAGTGTGGAAATGCATAAAAACATATTTGACAGAGTATGCTACTGAAATGCAATCTGCAATGAGTGAACACAAGCATTTAAAGTAGGGGTTTAGAACAAGTTCAATAAGTGATTGGCTTTTTACATTATAACAGCTCATATCAGTCGTGTGTTAACTTTGTCCCACACCCCTGCTTTAAGAAGTATGTGAACATATCGAAGCACTTTGACATTCAAGAACCCTTTTTGAATCTCCAGCATCAGTGATTAAAGTATCATAGAAAATGACTAAGACTCATAATTTTGTATATTTCAGCAACTGAAATTAGACAACTTGGAAATTCTCAACTCACAAAACAAACAGAACTATGAGATTCAAAAAAAGCTCCAAACTGAGCAAAACCAGATAACAAGGTTAAAAGTGTCTGGCAAAACTTTTTGCAGAGGCTGCCTCCTTCAAGGATCAGATGTGTGAGATGATGTGAGAGAACTTGTAGAATTCAGTAATTGTGTGGTATTTACAGTTTTCTCTTCGATATGAATGAAGTAGACCAGCTGTGTGTGAACGTAGTCCTTTTGTGGCCACAGCAGGACTAACATCTGTTTCATTTACAAATAACAAGCTTTAAATCTTTGGAATTAAAGTTGCTGTGAGAGTTTTTAGATTAGCACTGTAACGTATAAGTAACAATTCAGTAACTGCTTGGACAAATCCCTCACTTGAACAGCTGGCTAGCATCTTTATCCAGGTCAATGCTCAGGATCACTGATAGTGTAACCTCACCTCCTAACATTCTCTCCTCATCCATCTCTGTGACTGTCACACTAAAACATTAGATCGTCCATTCCAAGAAATACCCCAGTAAGTAAAGAATTTACAGAATCTCTAAAGTGTCTGCGTAGATTCTCTGTCATCCAGGTCATGGTAATCCTAGGGGCTTCAGTAGGAATCAGTGGACTTCTCTTTAAGGTTCTTGAAGACATTCAGTTGATTTCTACTGAAGCTGCTAGAAAATCGCTAAAGTATTTTCCCCATCAAATTAAACTAAATCAGTGCACGGAGCATTCTGGGATATTGGGATCCATGATGCACCAGAGCATCTGGAGGAGCCTTGGAAATAAGACAGACACGTTGGCCACATGATGACATGTGAAAATAAAAAGAGGCAACTGAATGGGACAGAATGTAATTGCACTAAGTAACCTCTGGATGGTGGTAGAATTTAATCACAAGTAGAACAACTATTGTGATGTCACACAAATTGTGAAGCTGTCTTCTCTGATCTGGGAACCGTCAGAGGAAGGTCTAGGGATGTAAAGCGTGCACAAAGCGTGGACCAAGAGTGCAAGGAAAACTGTCAGGTGGTTAGTAAATAGCAATCCACAGTGAAGCATAAGTGGAGGAGGGAGATGGAGTGGGAGGTGTTGGGCGGGGGTGCTGAGCAGTTGTAACCATAAGTTACAAGAGAAGGCAGGAGGTGTGTTAGTGCACCTTTTTTTGGATCAGTTTCATTTTGGTACTTCTGAGTTTGGCGAGAATTCCATCTGCTGCATATTGCTACAAACCAAAATGTAAGAGAGGTTATCAGTGATGCATGTGATAATGACATAGAAATAGATTCAGGAAGAATGGTTAGCTCCAAACAAGGATGTGTCAAGTAATCCTACTGATTCATTCAATTTCAAACTACAGGAATTCAGTTGAATTTTATTCTATTTATATAACACCAGTTCATTACATAATCTTAGGGCAGCTGACTTAGTAAGGTAAAGACTTCAAAGTATTGTAGAGAGAAAGCCCAACATTCCCTTTGAGCAGTACCTGGTGACACCCTTTTAGGAAGAACCCTCCAGCAGAACCCTGCTTTAGCCTATTACAGACGTGTATACAACCTACCTTTATTTCTGAAATCCTTAAAAAGCTGTTGCAAATAAATGTGTAACCATTTGAACAGAACATGGTATGTTGTTGAGGAACCTTGGAGTTATTTTTATCAGGATATAAGTCTCTACAACAACCTTTTTTCATATCCGCAATGTTATAAATAATAGGAACATCCTGTCTCAAAGTAGTGCTGAGAAACTAGTCCATGCATTTGTTACCTATAGGCTGGACTATTTCTTATTAACAGGATGTCCCAATAGCTTTGAAAAACCAGTTGATCCAAAAATGTCAGACTGTCAGGAACTAGCATGAGAAATCATATTTCTCCCATTTTACCATCTCTTCGCTGGCTCCCTATAGAATACAGAATAGAGGTTAAAATCCTTTGCCCTAAATACAAAGTGAAAAACATAAAGATGAAAACACTTTCAGTGGCATGTATTCATGTAAACAGATGATTCCCCTCAGGTTGTGAAATAACTATTTTTAAAAATATTTTCCATTTGACAGGTTTCAGAGGTACCGGGAGCCCATCTTTGTTAGAAAGTAGTTCCACTGACAACATATGAACTTATTATATAGGGTCGCGGGGGGCTGGAGCCTATCCTGGCTGACTTAGAGCAAAGGCAGGGGACACCCTGGACAGGTCGCAGGGCTACCATTTGTTCACAATTGTAAATATTAAAACATGAATAGTTAATTTATTCATGCAAATTACTCATTTAAATGTTCAGCTTAAGTAAAAGTTTAAGACCATGCATTAATTATTTGAGACCTCACATTGAAATGTAAATTGAAATTTATGATAGGAGGCAGAACCTTCAATTATCAGGCTTATAGTTAGAGCTGTTCAGGTATAAATTCAATTTAATATTATTTATATACCGCAATTCACAACATATGTCATCTTGTAGCACTTAACACAGTCAGGAGAAGACTTTGCCTGAGCCGCCTCTTAATTATGCTGCCATAGGTTAAGACTGCTGGGGGATTCCCATGATGCACTGGGCTCCTCTCCTCTACTCTCCTCTGTCTCTATCCCATACAGTTATACACCACCACTAAATGTCATTAACTCTGTGTCTTCTCTCTCCTGTAGTTTGTGGTTCATCTTCTCTGCTGGTATCTCCGGATCTGGAGCTGCACGTATCTGATCTGCAGACAGTGTAGCCTCATCTCCTCACTCGTTGTTCTTTTACATATTCTTTGTCTGTTCTCCGTCTGCTATCCTGCTATCAACCCCTCCTGATATATATACATATATCATGTTATTGCGATGAAAAAAAATCATTTAAAGTTGTGATCGACAAAATATGTAGAAATAAAGTAAAAACTATTTCATGAATTAGTCTAGGCAGTTTTACAGGCAGACTCCTCATTTACTTTTACTCATTATGTGGAACAAGTAAGCGAGCAGATAGCCTTAAGTCCTGTTTTTGGACAGGGAGACCCAGTGGTCACACCTACACCATTGGCATCAGCATTCTCAGCATTTCCACATACACTGCTGCCTAGCCATGCATCACTTGTGATAGCAGTAAAAGTAGTTGACATTGTTTGTCATTGGTGTTGTTCCTGTTCTCTAATTTCTAGAAGCTTCTGCACTTGAGAAGTTTGTCAGTTTTTCATTATTGTTGCTGCCCTTGTACTCTAAATACACCAACTGATCAAAAAAGGTTGTCGACCAATCCCAACGATGCAAAAATCAATTGGCGTCAGAACTGAGTCCAGCCCTGCTTTGGGGGAGAGTTAGCTGACACAGTTTAACAAACACATATAGATCCCTAAAATATATAGATCACTGTTTTAGTCCAAATTGGTTAATGCACACACAAAGAACTTACAAGGGCAGAGCCCAATCCAGGATGGTCCTGCGGCAGTGGCGGTCGTCCTATCAGCCCTATAAACAATAAATATGACAAATGTGGATCACATCTAAATACAATGTTATGCTTTTCATTTTGAGATATTAAATAGTAAGCTGCTAAATGTTGTTTGAATGACAGTTTATAGACCCATTTCAATTAGTTGTTTGGATTTTTACCAGTTTCTCCATCAGGTCGTGAACAGACTTCTGTTAGCACTCGCAGCAAGCCGTCTGGTTTGTATGAGTAGTGCTCCACCAGCTGCATTAAAGACAAAAGTACACATAGCATACTCTCATCACAATGGTATATGCATCCATACCTTCACAGGAGTAACAGGGTAATGTTTTCAAATATTCTTCAAAAGCCAGAATGTTCATGATACCCCAGAAAACGAGAACTGAAACAGTGTATCTTAGACCCTGGCAGTAGACAAGTTAAAAACAAAAACATTGGTGCTGACAGTGAAGCTTGAAAACAAGTTCTCTGATACTCTGGGGAGGACGCCAGGCTCTAGCTACAGTCAAGAACATCCCGTTTATGCCATCAGTATTGTTCTTTATGGGGTACCAAAGACCCAGTTTGACATTTTGAAAAATACATGAAGAAATCGTATTCTCTTTCTTTAAGGAAGTGAGATGTGCAGATAGATCCCAGTCCATCCATCCATCCATCCATCCATACATCCATCCATACATCCATCCATCCATCCATCTATTATATATACACCGCTTAATCCTCACTAGGGTTGCAGGGGGGCTGGAGCCCATAGCAGCTGACTCAGGGCGAAGGCAGGGGACACCCTACAGGTCACCAGTCTATCACAGGGCTACAAAAAGAGACAGACAACCAAGCACACTCACATTCACATCTACAGACAATTTAGAATCACAAATTAACCTCAACATGTTTTTGGACCTTGTGGGAGGAAGCCAGAGAACCCAGAGAGAACCCGGAGAGAACCCATGCTGCACGGGGAGAACACGCAAACTCCACGCGGAAAGATCCCGGGTGTCCTTACCGGGATGCAAACTGACAAGCTTCTTGTTGCTAGGCAACAATGCTAACCACAGAGCCACCTTGCAGCTAGATCCTAAGCTCATATCTTTATAATAATTACATGGCTGGAGTCAGAGTGTGGTTAGCTTAGTTTAGTTTAAAAATGTACGGAGAGAAACAGCTAATCTGGCTCTGTTCGAAGTTCCAAGACAAATACCGACTAACACCTCCAGATCTCTACGGACATTTGGTATTTCATTTGTATAATTGGTACGCAAACAGGGCTGCAAGGTGGAGCGGTGGTTAGCACCGTTGCCTTGCAGCAAGAAGATCGTCGGTTCGTGTCCCAGTGAGGACACTTGGGATCTTTCTGTGTGGAGTTTGCATGTTCTCCCTGTGCAGTGGGGGTTCTCTCCGGGTTCTCCAGCTTCCTCGCATAAGTCCAAAAACATGTTGAGGTTAATTGGTGATTCTGAATTGTCCGTAGATGTGAATGTGAGTGTGCTTGGTTGTCTGTCTCTCTGTGTAGCCCTGGGATAGGCTCCAGCCCCCTGAGACCCCAGTGAGGATTAAGCGGTGTATAGATAATGGATGGATGGTACATAAACAGAAATATAATGTACCATATTACTTTAACACAGAGAACAAAACTAAAACCTGTAATCACTAAGTAAATCTTTCAATAGCCAGACATGCACTGCTGTTTGTCTCTTCTCTCGTTACCTAAGATGGTTTTATCAGTCCACAATTACACTAAATTACAAGTGTTATTTTCAAAGCTGACCATGATCATTCAGAATCTTACAAGCATCATTAATCGAAACTCAAAGAAAGAGAGCAAGTGTACTGTTATAATGCTTTCCAAAAAGAAAAGTAAATCAAATATTGACAAGTTTTCAGCTAAAATAGTCCAACTTTTCAGTCAAACCTTTCTCAGAAGGTGTAGTATGGAGGCATACTGACTCCTGATCTCAGTATTTCTACATTTTAAGTCACAGCCCTGGGAATATGAATCTGCTTAGCACATTTCAGGACAATGTCCATATAGATATCTATATAACTAACTTCCATGAAATGCATCATCATATCATTTCTAAAATCACCAAGCAATATAGAAATATAAAATGTATTCTGTTAACCTGCCACAGCGTGTCAAACTTCTTCCCATCTGGAATGGAGAGCTTGCCAGCCCTGTCCTTGTCAATGCGATAATGCATAACTTGTCCTTCATGTAGTAAACACAGAGCATAGGATCCATCCACATCTCTCTTTCGAATCCTGCACACACGAGACAAAGATAAGGAAAAGACATTTAGTTTGAAATCAGAACCTTTTGGGTGATAATGTTTGTTGTAGCTGTTTTGTTCGTATACTCTGTCCAGTCAGTTAAGGCGATGTCAAATGTTTCAAAAAGAATAAAATAATACTAAAAGAATGTAGTCATTTGTTATTATTATTACTATTAAGTTGATCAGGAAAAAAAAAACATACAGAATGCACATCAGAATTGCAAGAAAATCTAAGAAAAGCTGGGTCTAGATGGCAGACATGAAGTAAAATGTCTTGTTGAAAAAGATTCTCCTCTTTACTTTTTATACTACATATAAAATTATAAGTGAACTGTAACTAAGTGTACTACATATATGTACCAGCTATAAGAAATGTATATTAACTGTTAAAAACTGTTTTGTGGGTGGTGGTGCTTTTGGACTTAGTATCAGTATTTATAGTTTTAGGACCAGTTAATTCATTAATTGCAAAAGGGTATTTCAGATATACAGATTCAGTGACATTTTGAAATAACTTATAGCTTATAAATGTGTTACTGCTGGATTGTTGTGGCTTACTTTTTGTAATTTCATTTGTCTGTCATGTTTTGTCTGGTTTGCTACATGTCTGCTGTTACCTAATGGTTTCAGTTTTCTTTTCTTTTCTTTTCTTTTCTTTTCTTTTCTTTTCTTTTCTTTTAATTGACGGTAGTCTTAAGATGCTGAAATCATCAAATCCCCCGTCGAGCACAATGAAGCCTTATTGTGAAACAAATATGAATCCATTTTTTATTAGTTAGTTGTATTTTATTTATTTTATTTGAGATATTTTTCAACTGGGAGAAAATTTCAATAGTATTTAACCCCACCTGTTACCATACAATATATCAGCTGTAACCATCTGTGACTGGGTGTAACTATTTTTACGCTTTAGGATCTGAAAAAGAACCAGCTGAGGATTTACAGTAATAAAGAGAAGCTCAGTTACAGGAACTAAGCTGGAACCCAAAGATATGGCTTGTTTATCATTAAAAATAACTATGCTTTTCCCCAAAGGATGTTCTAAATGCAAATTATTATAGAAATAAAAGTGTCTCCAAATATGGTATAGTATAGTAATATAGCATGGAAATTATTTGGTTTTTAAAAACCAGACCAAATAGTTTGAATATTCTAATCCAGAATATTCTAGCTCTAGCGTGTCTGGGATATTTTCATGAAAATTTAAATTTACAGCTATAATGAGGCTGCGCTTCAGTGGAAAAACCAAGTTTTCTGCTAGACGTTTCATGAGAAACAGGACTGAACAGTCACATCTCGGCCTTCTTCCTCTTGCTTGGCTACATCAGGAAGTCCTTTGCAAACTGCCAAAGCGGAAACCACGCTGTTTGTGTGTGTGTGTGTGTGTGTGTGTGTGTGTGTGTGTGTGTGTGTGTTCCCCTGAGTTTCTTCAGCTGAGACCAAAGCCTCTCAACTGAAACTGCTATAAATACTCACCTCGACAAAAGAGCCATTTTAGACAATATCCATATTGAATTAGTTTAGCTAAGTGCACTGTTTGTCTCCGTGATCTGAAGATCAGTCACTGCCGTTAATCATTATAACATTAAACAACAGCAACAACAATTCTGAACTACATAAAACGCCAAGTTTGTGGTTTGTGGATAATACAGTGAAAATAAAACTGTAAAATTATTTTTATTAAATAATTTTTACTTTTTCACACAATGCTTTTTTTTTTTGGTCACATTTCTAAATTTCGCTGGCAATTAGCAGAAATAGAACAGTCACGGTCAACAATAACATCTATAAACAGCAATCACCTCACAGAATGCAATATAGAAATTTACAATAGTTGTTTGACTGACTTGAGTTTGGAAAGAGCCCAAACAGTTATTTCAATAAATTGACTGGTTTTATACAGAGAAGACATCATGTGAAGTGTACCCCATATCTACTGATCTGTTTTTGTTTCATTCTGTTTCTATACCTGTTTGATGACACGTTTCCAGACCTTCTGATTTCTGTTTAGAAAGTGATGCCTAAAGCAAGTCCTTAAACTTAGTAACATCAATATCAACCTAGCGTCTGCATTAAAGCTTTGCAAGATTAGAAAAAGATCAAGCCTCAGGGTGCAGGTTGTTATGTTCCTGCAGAAGAAGGTTGGATGTTGAAATGGTTTGCTGACATTTAAAATGATGAAAGTTTCTTGGGAAATAATTTGCCAAATTTGACTGTACTTTATTGTTATAACTTACATTATACTATTTCTGGCAAACAGCCAAAAGCTATACAAAGACAACTGTAAGATACTTACAGGAATTTTCCATTTGTACGGGAGCCATTTTGAAGCCTGGGTTCGGAGTCTTCTCGTGTTATTGCTCCATGGAACCAGGGCATTCTTTCATGAGCAGTGGTGGCAATGAGTTTTTCGAGCTGAGGCCTCTGGCTGATGATGGCCTGCTCCAGAGCTGCTCCCTGCACACACATAACACAACTACTTAGCTAAAAAAAAAAACCTGTTCAAACAATGGTACTGAAGGGGAAAATGTAGCTTTCATGATGGTCTGGCCTGGTCCAACAATTCAAGCAAATTCCTGCTTCAGCTTTGACATGCTGGAGTTACTGTACTTCAATATGGAATGTTTCTGTTTCTTAAGGAATTATTTGTGAGAGTTTAGGTGGAATTGTTTTCACTTTTACCTCAGAAAAAAGCAGCTTAGACAGCCCGATTAATTTTGCCAGCCAGTTTTCCTATTAATGAACTTCTTATGTTTCTTGCCGTTTGACCACATGTGAGCATTTCAAAATCTGAACAGTTACTTTGGTGAGAACCTTGTTGTCGTGATTACAATAAATCCCAAGTTTTAATAAAACATTATTTTTTCTTACATGCCATAGACTGTATAAAAGATGGACGTAGCAACCGGCCCTGAAAAATGAAGTCAACCCGGAAGTGTCAAAAACCTGCAATATCACTACGTCCACTAGCTGCTGGCTCCAAAAAGCCCTGGCTCCCATAGACTTGAATTGGAAAAGAAGTGATCACAGATCACGAAATACTGCATTCCAACAGCTCAGGGGTTTTTTTTCTTATTAGTTTTCATGGTCAAGTCCAGAGATCAGGTGGCCAATCTGAAAATAAATCAGTACTGAACTTTTAAAAAAATCATCAACATTTTGTGGGGCAAGGGGCGTGGCTGACTTGATTGACAGTCGGCAGCGACCATACAGATGAAGCGAGCAGAAGGCGTAGAATGTGGGCGGGCAGAGGGCCTGCCTCTCAATCCGTCTGACCAATCGCTGCTCCTATGGTTCCGCCCCCTCTCAGACAATTTCTGCGTCACTGGCTCCAGCAATCCAAGATGTCAACCAGGAAGTAGCAAAACCCTGGCTTCATTTTCTCAGTGCAGAAACCAACGGGTGACGTCACGGTAGCTACGTCCATCTTTTATACAGTCTATGTTACATGCCCTAACTGTATGGCTACTGGTACTCTTGTGCAACTAACTTCACATTGTAGCTATTGCAAACAACCTACAGGACTGAGTTGCTACCAACCTGCAGGTTCCAGGTCTGCTTCACATACTCCCGGAGCAGTCTTTCTTTCAGGTCCTCAAAAGGCCCCACCTTTGGCTGCATGTTCTTCGGCCTGTTGCACGGCTTCTTCAAGAGACACACAAGACCATCCGTCTCCTGGGAGTGGTAGTCAATCACATCTACAGGGCTCCTGTGACTCTTACCACCAGCAATAGCATATGTTTCATTGTGTTGTCTTTCAATGGTATAGTGGTAGCAGCGACCAGCATTTGACACAGACAGTGCAAAGCCTCCAAGATAGCTTCGGCTTTGGCGTAGCAGGTACATGCCGTTGCCCATGCCTGCCTGTTTCAGGTAGTCCTCTGCCTCCTCCCTGGTGACATTGCCATAGAAGAACGGCAATGTGTTCACATTGTCAGCCATGTTGGCCTCTGGATGGTGGGTGGTTGTCTCAACGAAATCTGTCCACAAGATTAAGTGACCAGGATGCAGTTAACCTGAAAACAAAACCACAACCACACAGGAATTAAGATTTACTCTTTTCAATTTACTTGTCCTAATTTATTCTTTTTAAAAAATATATTTTTTTATTGTTTCTGTATTTTATTTTACAGGGACAATACATATAGGCATTGTTATGTTTAAATAAAACCAGTGTCATGTGTACTGGAACTTCTAACCAGTACTAACTAAAAGACCATGTCACTGGTTAGGCTTTTAAAGATAACAATCTAATACAGAAATAACAACTGACAACAAAACAAACATGTAAACAACCATCACCAAAAAGGGATTTAAACAACAATGACAAAGACTATATCTCAGGGTTCACCAATTTGCCTTGTTTCAAGCCACTGGGTTGCCTCGTGTTAAAAGTTTTAATATCACGAATATATACCTCCAGATGTTCAAGCTCCTCACTCAATCTCTAAGGCTAGGCCTAGCCACCCTACGGAACAAACTCATTTCGGCTGCTCATTTCAGCATTGGATCATGGTCAATATAATTTGGCCTTCTTGAATAGAATTTACAAAAAAACACTATTTTCTGGCAAAATGAAAACAAATTTCTACAAAGTAAAGTCTGTTATTTTATAGATATAAATGTAAAAACAGAGATTGTAAAAGTATTTGCTCCTGTCAAGTCAATATTTAGTAGATGCACCTTTGGACAAAATTACAGCATTGAGCTTGTGTGAATGGGTCTCAGCCTTGTACATCTGGACACTGCAACTTCATCGCATTCCTCTTTGCAAAACTGTCAGGTTGCATGGGGATTGTGAGTGAACAACCCTTTTGAAGTTCAGCTACAAATTCTCAAGGGGATTGAGATCTGGGCTCTGACTAAGCCACTCCAGAACATTCACTGTGTTGTCTTTAAACCATTTCTGTGTAGCTGTGGCTGTAGGCTCCAGGGCATTGTCTTACTGAAAAATCATTTTTCATTCGTAAATAGCACAATATTCTATTTTAAAACAAAGTGGAACACAAGTGTAAAGTAACCATGAAAATGTACTTAAGGTCAATTCAAGTTACTACAAATCTGTACTTAAATACATGCAAAACTAGTTTTCCTCCAGAGACACAGGTGTGCAGCAGGTGTCTTTATTTAAATTTTGATGGTCTCTCTGGGCTGCACGCTGGCTCCGTGGTTAGCACTGTTGCCTTGCAGGTAGAAGATATCCAGTTTGCGTCCTGGTTAGGATGCCTGGGATCTTTCTGTGTGGAGTTTGTATATTATTCCTGTGCAGCGTGGGTTCTCACCAGATTCTCCGGCTTGCTCCCACAGTTCAAAGACATGCTCAGGTTAATTGGTGATTCTAAATTGCCGGTAGGTGTGAACATGAGTGTGGTTGTTTGTCTGTCTGTGTAGCCCTGTGATAGACTGGTGACCTGTCCAGGGTGTCCCCTGCCTTCACTCTAAGTCAGTTGGGATAGACTCCAGCCCCTTGTGACCCTACTGAGGATAAAGTGGTGTATGGATGATGGATGGATCCTAACAGAGCCCTTCGCTCTCAGACTGCAGGTTTGCTTGTGGTTCCCAGAGCTTCCAGAAGTAGAATGGGAGGCACAGCCTTCAGTTATCAGGCTCCTCTGTTGTGGAGTCAGCTCGAAGTTGGCCAGAATGTGGTTCTACCAAGACAGCAGGGCTACAAACATATGATGATACTATAGCATATGATTCATTGCTATAGATGAAACTACATAGTGGTAGAAAAATGAGTTAGAATCTACTTAACTCTGGGCACCACGTTCGGTCACCTAGTTGAGTGGGCGCTCAATGTACAGTACCGGGGCTAGCATTTCTATCAGAGAAGCCTGGGGTAAATCCCAGGCCAAAGCAAGCTGCGGCATGTCGTGCAAGTGCACAAACTAACTGGTTGCACAAAAGGCCCTGAGTCATTTTTGGTAACACACCTGTCTGGTCATACCACAGCCGCCGAACAGCAGCTACCGCAGTCTGCAATGTGGAGCGTTTAGAGAGCATCACTAAATCGTAGTGTCTATCGATAAGAAACTGTTCAGCAAGTCATATGTGTTGTGTGTGACCAGGTGTAACAAAATGAGAAAGTGGGTCGTACTGGTGCTACCACTGAAAAAGCTAGTCTGGAGCCCTGAATAGTGTTTTTTTTCATTACTTATGTTGTGTGTTTTGAGTTTGTACAGATCCTGTAAATATTGATGAAAGTTTGATAAATGGTTTTGACATGTAATTCTGATAAATCTTAATTTTAAATTAGATAATGATTAGAATATCCTCCAAAGTTAGAAAATTTGCATTCCTGTGAATAGTTGTGCCGGATGATGTCATATCCTAATTTCTGATTCAAAATAAAATTTGCAGGCTACGCTCCCCCCACTACAAATTTTCAACAGCTGCCACTGTTAGGACAACTCAACATAATTACATGATCTTTCTAAATAAATACTTTTTTAAAGAAATTTTAAAATATTTTAGATATTTTATTTATGTTCAGATCAAATTACTCTGTTTTCAAGTTTAGATATGTGACACATATCTTTCATTTTCTGATCAAAACAAGGGTTTATTAGTTACATATCATTACATTACAATTCACAGACTGAATACAATGAGACATTATTATTATTGTTCTATATCATTAGAAATGTGTCTCATGTCAAGAAAGTGTATTGACCTGAATTCAGTTGTGGAGTCGTATACCCTCTCATGCACACACACACACACGCACACACACACACACACACACACACACACACACACACACACTCACTCTGTCCCCATCCCCCTACCACTGCACAAACACGTACACATCTCCAGTCCTCTAGCTGTTCAGCGGTATAGACTTTCCATCCCACCACATGTCTTGTACACCGTCTACACACACACACACCTTGCCCAAGACAGCACTTGTTCATAAGTCTTAATGTGACCAAATAAAAGGGTTACTTTTGGAAATTAAATCGCCATGCCTTTTTTTTTATAGGATAGGAAGTATATGCAATTTTTACCCTGAACACTGATACTTGTTAACAATTTCCCTCACAGGTTGAATTTGACCGACAAACACTATGGGTTGACCTCTTTTAGAGCGCAACGGGAGGGTTAAATTGACTTTTTTTTGTTTGACACACATGAGCTCCACCATGTAAGAGGGAACTGATGTTGCAGTGGCAGCAAATCTGAGATGTAATTTTAGACCGATGACAGAAGGTAATTTCTTAGTTTTCAAATACACAATGAAAGCTGATTCTAATTTAAGACACCATCAAGCCAAAAGGTACAAGTGGCACTGCAAGCTTAACGAAAGCAACTCTAGCTGTAGCCTGGTGCTCATCAGTTTCCTTAATCCTACAAGAAGTGCTTAGACATCCTCAGGGTTTCTGTCATTTTATGTATTATATACCATACTCAGTTCTAATTTTAAAGCTATGATCTCAAAGATGAGCCTGACTTGCTGGCAAAATAAAGTAAGAAGACGCAAAAAAATAATTAAGGGCAGTGCAAACAAAAGCTAAGAACCAACTTATTCCATGGTTTTACAAGCATTGCTTCATTAACACAGAGTTCAGCACATTTGAACAATCACTCAAACAATCCACAACCACACTAGCTTTTGCAGTTCTCAAACACAGACTTGTAGCTACGCACTAATGTACTGCAGCCTGATCAATTACATTAATATAGGTCCAACTTGTCACGGTGTTAACGTCACAGCTTTCACATTTGGCATCCTGAACAGAGCTTATTCACTTTCACTGATTCCATTCAATTAACGGAACAACACAAATATGACACAAAATTGTTCATATTCTTTTACATTTTTAAATAAATGTGCTCGTGAAAGTAATTATATTTGTTTATCTGATACTTAACATCCTAACACTAACAATGTCATGCTTGTATTACACTAAGGTGTTTGATGATGGTAAAAACACAAATTTGCTGAGCAGGAATGTACAATACACAGATTACTAATTCTAAACAATAATATCCCAATCCTAAAAATAAGTGACTTTTATAGGCTGGAAAACTTCTTGACAAACACTGCCCAAACCCATGAAAATGTCATCATCTATAATTTTGTCTCTGGAGAAAGATGATGTCATATAATCTAAATTACTTAGCCTACTTAGCTTGCCATCTCTAATAAGTTTTCTAGCAGCTCAAAACACACATGAACGTATACAGGTACCGGGACAAAGATAAACCTTAGACACAGGTAAACCAAGACTTTACATGACAAATATAAGGGTGAAAGAAGATCCTTTTCTAAAGTAAAACAACCATTTAAACAATGTAAAAAACCTCACTACAAGCAAACAAGCTTTAGCAAAATTTTTACTGAACTCAAGTGTAGAGGAATTATCAGCAAAATATACATCACTGTACATGGCTGAGATAGTTAGCTTTAACTACTTTGTTTACACTTTTTAGTTGTTTAATTCCAACCTTTAGGATTGGGCCCAATCAAAAGAGTCACAACAAAAATCTGGGGAACTGTGACATAATTAAAGAAGTTGGAAAGCAGCACAAACAAAGTTATGCTGCACAACAATAAGCAATGTTTCTTAATCCCTACTGGTGTCAGACATTTGTTTAAATGAAACTATCTCAGATGTTAAAAGGAAAGATGTCTGGTGCGACTGCCAGCAACTCATATCTTTCAGTCATTGCTTTTCCTTTTTTTTTTTTTTTTTTTTTTTTTAAGTTCAATGCAATACATCAGTAAATGTACTTCATAATTTCAACCACTGAAAAGACCTATTCAAACTGTATAAACTCAGGTTTTAGGGTTCAGATCAGGCTTATGTTTAGGTTACAAGCTGTATAAGTAATACCAAAAATGCCTGCTGGTCATCTGAGTCCGTACCTGACATGAGTTTGAAAACATTAATTCAATTTCATCAAAACTCTATTAATATCAGAATGGAATGCTCATTTGTTTTGGAAGCACATTTTAATAATTAATTCCCCAAACAAGAGCAACAACTTTCTGGGATACTGCAATTATCTTTCACAGTTTGGCAGAGTGACATCTAAAACCAGGTCAGTAGTTACTAAGACATTACATGACTTGCTAAGACATAGAAGCAAGAGAAGTAACTGTAATTTTTACACTACACAAAAAGATAGACGGTGTGGAAACATGGAAGAGTGGCAGTAAAGCCCAAGCAGTTTTACTTATGATGTGGTGAAGTAGTTCAAAAGTTTGATTCTCCTCCAGTTTGGTTCTTTCAAAACGTATGCATATTAGCTGCCAGCAGTCTGAGTAACATACAACCAGGTCATCTTAAACTGAGCCAGCTCCTGACAAACGACAAAATGTTCTGTCAAAACCATAAATAAAAAGAAAGTCACTCACAGGGGATCCCAGCTGTGCGTTCAGTGGGAGCAGATTAACCTTCAGCCTGTATACTGACACACAGCGAAGGGCTCGAGCTCTTAAGCTTCCTCATTTCAGTGACTTCCTTGACAATTTAATTCTTTTACTTCCTTTTTTTTGATCTGCACACTGACCAACACGTATACTGTGCACCAGGAAATGATGTGACAGCAAAGCCTTAAATGCAAAAATGTATTTCAAATTTATTGTTGAATGTGGAAACAGCAAAATGATTTTGAAGAAAAATTAAGACAACTCTAGCTGCTTAGTATTTATGACTTACATGTTTTTATTTTATGCAGCTTAAGGCTGTGCCACCAGTGTACAGTACAAAAGATATCATTACAGTTTTTAGTTATTGCTACATTAATAAGCAATAAGTGTTGCAAAATTCAACAAATGTGTTACTGAAAAACAGCCTGATAATACAAATAGCAACGGATATAGTAGTTATTCATTTGATTTCAGGGTAAGTGTGACGTCTGCATCTTGCTCTCAGTATTTGATATATTAGTAAAAAGTACAATATTCCATTTTAAAATAAAGTGTAAAGTAACAATGAAAATGGATTTCAGTCAGTTCAAGTTACTACAAATCTGTACTTAAATAAATGCAAAACTAGTTTTCCCCCAGAGACAGTGTCTTTATTTA